TTTGAGTCAGTTCTGCGAGTGTTAGAGACAGAAAACAGATCGGTTGACTTCGGGTATGAACCACAACAACGTTCCCAAGTTAATCCTTCAGCAACGGAAGCCGCCATATGTAAACTATGCACACAATTCACGCGAGAGTTTTCGTGATTATTAGGTTTCAACAATTTCATTAATGATATCATCATCACCAAGGTGCCTGGCTGACTGGCGGGGCCGATTATACTTTTCTATAAAACGAGATCTTCGACTGCGTTTATCAGTTCGTCTGTTGAAAACCCCTCCGTGTCATGACAAAAGGTCATCAAGAATCGTCTCGCATTGTCTTCCCCTGTATCTCCTTCCACAGATCTTTCCAGTGGTCACAACTGTTGAATTAAGAATCGACATCACAGCACTCGGACACTCCCGTGAGTGCTCAGTCCCCATCTTCAGCAGCAAATACCAAGTTCTAATTCTGATGGTACCAGTAACTGTCTGGTTGTATATCCGTCTCATCCTTCCCCTGAGTGTGAGCGTCAGCCAGATCCCCTGGTAACTCCTCACAGCGCCATTCTCCTTAGACCATAATGATCTATCTGCGCCTCCGCACTGTTTACTCGTTCCCAAAGGGCCCTCACAATATCTAACTTGTCATACAAAAATTCACCATCAAGTGGTGCAGAGCCAGCCAGTCTATCTGCCTGCTCATTTCCCAACACACCGGCATGACCTAGAGAAAATTTTTGAAAGTGGTCAGAACTTCATACAGTAAGCGCCCCCCCCCCCCTTTTTTTTCCAAAAAGAAAAAAAAACTAAACAAAAATGATGATGGTCTATTTTTGAAGTTTGTGAAATGTTGTCTTCGAGCCCTCGCCTCTGTCAAAACATCTAGGGTGCTTACATAATATGATATATTAACGTTAGATAGTCCCAACGGTTGCTGACATAATATGATTTTTACCATTTTTAAAAACTACACTTAATATATGTTCTTCTTCGACTTCGTGTAAACTGCGGCGGAAAGTTATGTTGTTCATCAACCTCTGAACTTCAGACTAGTTCCAGAACACGAGTGTTGCGTGCTCATCCATTTAAGACAGCTGACTTATTTGTTTAACATAACATAAACCGTGACCCGTTAGGGTTGTGGAAGCACTTGCACATAAAACCGGTCATTTTTCTCTTCCGCTTGATTAATAAGTGTATGATAACTTAGCCCTGTCCATTTCTTGATGTTGTCATTCCATATTCTTATGCGCCCTCCTCTTCTTCGATTAAATTGTTCCTTGAAGTATAGTTTTTGCAAGTGAATCATGTCTCACCACGTGCCCAAACTAAGCTAGCTTGCGACGTTTCACCCCTGGTCTCTGGGTAGTACAACCGGACACCCGTGTGTATTGTTGCGCATGTAAAAAAAATCCTTTGGCAGTTGGAAATCGAAAAATAGTAGCTTAGACTCAAGATTCGAACACAAAATCTTCAGGCCTGCGACAAACGCCTAGCAACTGCACTATCATACTAATTACAATCATGAATTCTGCAGACTGATTTCCTTAATATGCATATCAAAAGAACGGCTAGTGGGTGGATTACTAAATACTCTTGCCAAGGGTAAGACAATCACACACATTTTTCTTGGGGAGGGGGATATGTAAATCACCTTCTTTAAAATGCCAGGATATGTGCAAACACTACAGGGGACAGCAAACATTAAATGTCTATGCATTGGTAACAGAAAAGAATTCTGTGGAATACTCGTCTTCTCCTACTGTGTTCACCAGCTGTCTGCTCTCTCCAGCTGAAAGTCCTGGTTGTTCGTCCACTTGGATTTTGGTTTTGTGCCAGGGCTTAATTTTTGCATGTAGGTCCGTTTTTTGGGTTTACATGTGTGCAAAATATGGGGGTGACTGCAGTCAAGCTAATACCAACGAATTCCAGTGAAATGTGACTAAAATGCTTAACGAAACGGGGAAGCAGAAAAACGTGCACAAAACAACGTTTCGGCCAATGTTATTTTGTGAACGTTTTTTTTTCTGCTTTCCCGTTTCGTTAAGCTTTTAGCCACATTTTACTGGAATTCGTTTATATGTGTGCAGTTAGTTGTTCCTTGCACTCAATTTCAATGGAAGCCGCAAATTAATCGACTCCTACGACATGCTTGTTGGGGCGGAGGTGGGTCTTTTCTTGTTTTCTTTCACAATAAGGCACTGCAACCCACACAGCAGATGGAATAGAAGTACTAAACAAATTAAAAAACATGACTATTAAAATATCTTTCCTTTGTATCTATTTATTACATATGTCAATGGCATTCATTAACTTATGTGTACAAACTGATCAATTCAGTAGTTCTTCTTTCTGTGTTCTGTCTTCAGATATCTAATCCACAATCACATCTATGCTTTATTGTTAGAAATGGCTACACAGCTGTTAGCTCCCCTGTATTTCATTGTGTTGGAGTATGCTGACATGAAATTTCCAATTATACATTTGGTGTAAACATTTTACTGACCTGCAGCAGCAGATGGCCGAATGGCTTCTTCTTCTTCTTCTTCACATTCACCAGCTGTAAACTCCGGTGGAAAGTTCTGGTTGTTCGTCCATTTCTGGACTGCAGTCCTGTTCCAGAACCTGAATGTTGCGTATGCATCCATTTTACAGATCTGACTCATTTGTATGCAGACTGCTGGTTCCTTGCCTCTCAGGCAGATGCATTCCGACTTCGAAGAAAGCTCCCATTTAGTCGACTCTTACAACATGCTTTTGGGTAGGCAGTACAAAGGACATTCAAATAAATTTAAATGTTTTAAATGTGAAGATTCGGAGTTGCACACTCTGCTGCTTTCTAAGCTTGGATGGGGAAGAGTTCTACAACACAGACTCTGCGGAGAGGGGAACAAGAGTTCTACAACACAGACTCTGCGGAGAGGGGAACAAGAGTTCTACAACACAGACTGGAGAGGGAAAGAATAGTTTCACAACACAGACTAGAGAGGGAAAGAGGAATTTCACAACACAGACTGTGGAGATGGGAAGAGGAGCTCAGCAACACGGTTTCTGTGGCAATGATACATTTGTACTGGGTAAGGGGGGAAAAAATTGTCTTGAAACCAGTTTCACCAAGACACATGTAAGACCTTTTCTGAGCTCAGGCAAAAATGGATGCCAATGTAAGCCTTTGAAAAATGTAAACCTGCCTTTTCACAGGTTTTTACCCACCAATCCCTGTACAGGGATATTATGGCCATAATATGTGTGGGCCATATTCACAGAATCTTATTTTTACTTATTTAAAATTTTACAAAAACCAGGCCTAGATTCTTCAATGACTACTACTCCTATTAGCATATGTTCATACATACATCTATGTATACATAGGCACACATAAACATTTACAGAGTAAAAAATGTCAATGAAAAAAGTTAATGTTGTGACTCATTTTGACTGAAACAAGTTCTAGCATGCGATTTGTATTTCGAAGAAAGGTCTAAAACCAAGCACAATTTTTTTTGTCCAAATAGTACATATACCGATTTACCACTGTAAATCCCTTCCCATGATTCTTCTCTCATTTTCTTCCTCTTTCTAATGCTCCAAAAATCTTTCCAGTTGTCACGTATTCCAGTTTTTCTTGTCTCATGTGATCAGTCTGTCTTCATTTTGTATACTGTAAACTTTCCCTGCTGTGACAAGCCCTCCCGAATTTTCTATTGTCTATCCCTCACTCCATAAATCTTTCCAGTTGTCACATCTTCCATTGTTACTCTTATCATTCTGTGGTCACAAAGTGACAAAACACAAGAGAAGCTTACGGTAAAGGTCAGATGCTGCCATTGGGTTAGGAAGTACCCAAGCCCACATAAGGGCTAATCAATTCAGTTTACCCACTGGCCAAATGTTGAATTCAGGGATCATCGCTGGCAAAAGTACCGAACCCCGATCTCCAAAGATCACAGATGGCCAGATCTGGCCAGCTGAATCGCCCTGATCTACACCATGACATTAAGAGGTGGGGTGGCCAACTAACCCCTGTAACATCATGGACAATTCTTGTAATATGGTGAAAATTATAAACTACCTCAAAAACGGATACTGGCATGTTAAAAAAAAAGAATTCTACTTCTGCCTGGAACTAAACCTGGACTGGTAGCTTAGTCAGTAACCATGTTGTTAAATCCTCTTCTTCATGTTCAGTGTCTGTAAACTCCAGTGGAATGTTCTAGCTGGATATGGGGGCCGTATTTTAAACAAACAAAGAATAGACCCACTGCCAACGTGGCCCCCTACCCATCATAAGCCTGTCAATAAACTCGACTAATTAGGGATGGTTCCTTTGAAGCCTGTGTGCATCTGCGTAAGAGGCAAGGAACCAACAGTGCATGCAAAACTAAAGAAATTTTTACCAAAAGAAGTTTCAGCCAACTGACATTCAAAGGCAGACGCGACCGATATCTCCCTGTTCCCTTTCTGCCCGTACTTATCAGAACATTTAGATGTACTCAGTGTTAGGTATGGGTGGATGTTTGAAATTCGCCCTGCTGGGGATTCAAACCCTGGCTATTAAAGAAGTGTAGTGCCACTGTCAGTTAATCAATCATAGATTCACTGTAGGCGCCCACATAAATCTACAGCCAAATGTAAGGGTAAGGTTTATATAACAATAATAAACGAACACTAATCACACCTAGTCTATGAATATAACAAGAACTTACTGATAAAAACTATAAACTATATTACAATTTATTCATAACCAGATACAGTACACATAAAATAATGCTATCTGTCCACTCAATATAAAAAATGTTCGACTGAGAATAACAGTTATAATACAAAATAAATGTGTATATAAAATATGCAACATATATATTTTTTATACAATGCAAAATCTGATATGTGATTCATTTCCCTAAAGATAATTCATGGAATGAGTAACAAATTCAACAATTGACCTCGACGATTGTATAAAACTTTTAGGATCTATAAAATATTTTTGCTCAGAGCAGTAAAAGGAAATAATTCTG